AGGAAAGGAAAAGCCAACTGCGTCTAAAAATGGAGAATTGTAAATTGAGGGGTGCCCTGGCAAAGGTGGTCCAAAAATTGTAGCCTTTTTCAGGGAGCAGAGGGCTAAAAAGCCGCAAATAATTGTACCAAAAAGGTGTGCCTTCAAAGGGCGGCCGGGACGTGCCAATTGTCGATTCTGAGCTTTGGGATACCGTATCAGCCATGCTATACCTATGCCTGAGCCTGAGCCCAAGCCCATGCCTAAGCCGAACCATACCTAAGCTTAATCTAAGCCGAAACTAAGCTGAAGCTAGGAATTGGCTGTTCCTCGCTTCCCAATTTCTTTATTTAGGAAAGCCCATCCAATCCACGGGCTCACATCGGAAATTAGCAACCTAAACCTTGGGCCCCGAGGGGGGAGGCGTCAAATGGGTGCTTGACGGATCGAAATGCGAGCACCCAGTGTCTTTTAGGGAGGGCTTAAAGGGATATCGAGAGCGAGGAAGAGAGAGATAGAGAGATAGAGAGAGAGAGAGAGAGAGAGAGAGAAGAGAGAGGGGGAGAGTAAGAGTCCCTGAAAAAAGAGCCTAGCCCCCAATTATCCCTTTTTCCGGATAGAATACGGTCAACATAGATACACGGACCCCAGCTTCTCGCAACATCGGGACGCTAATGAACTTGTCAGGTCGCGGCTAGAAGTTGCCCAAAAGGATGGGGTCGAGGGGAACTAGAATTTTGCTCGTATTTTTAGAAAATTAGAAGGAAGAAATTTTATTGGGCAGCAGTTTTTTTAAATCGTGAATGCGTGAAAAAAAAACGAGGGAGGAGAGAGCGACAGATAGCGAGAGAGAGAGAGAGAGAGAGAGAGAGAGAGAGAGAGCGAAAGAGAGAAACTCGTTCAGAAAATTACGAAACGAAAATCATTACCATCATTAAGGCGAATCATGATACCCAAAAACAGATCCACAAACGAAAACAACCCGGAATGGACCTACACAGCCCATCCATCTTGGTTGAGCGGATGATGTGGCCGCTTTAGAGAACCCGAGGGCACACATCCTCCATGCTCTTCCCTAGCCACAAAAAGCACATCTAGCCGCGAGGAGCAAGGGTCAAGCAATTACCGGAAAATTGGATGTAAAAACGCTTTAAAAGAGATGAAAATGGGTTTTCGTGCTCTATGTAGAAGGATTCATAAAAGCGTCACTAAAAATTGGTAGTTCCTTCTTTTTCGAAGGAAGCGCCGCTCAAATCGAAGCGTGTTTTAAAATTCATATTAGCAAGGTGTTTTACTGTGTTTTCGTCGCTGCAAAGGATTTTAAACCTTCGATACTGTTTTTAGAAAACGAGATAAAAAAAGTGGCTGCGAGAGAAAAATCTGTCGTATCCTGCTAGCCCTCCAGGACCCGGAATCTTTTTCAAAAACCAATAAAATTTATTCAAAACTAAAAAACGCGACATTGGCATGAGTATGGCTACCACAGAAACAACATGTGAATATCATCGGGTAGTAATCATGCGGGCCAATATTTATTTGTAAATGTAGTTTTTCAATTAGAGGTAGACGGTAGTTTGAACAGAGACAAACAGAGTGCTGGGAATATTTTAACCCCGACGCATCGCATAAGAACTTCGAATTTCGGTATGGCTGAAGAGTGGTTTTTGCTTTTTTGGTTGTGTATTAATCGGAGCATCGAATTCAGCTTTGTCTTCTTCTTCCCCATCTGATGATAACTCGATTTTGACGTTGGCTAGTTTCTTGGAGCATTTGGTCTTGTTTTCTGATGCTGCTGAACTTGTGCCCTCACGGCAAGAATACTTCTTTTTCATGAAATCCTCTAAGAAAAGAAAAAGCATAATTTTATTTTTTTTGGATTACCTTTTAGGCGATTTACATCAGGCTTCACATCAGCTTCATCTTGCGGTTCCAATTTAGGGATGACAAATTTTACAGAAGATTTTACATGATTTTTGTTGCCATTTTCTAAATATAAAAAATTATAGTTTTATTCGATCTGAATCTAACCACCTTTTGAGCTCCCTTGACTGCTTTGCTCCCAAAAATTTTCCGCCTTGATTTTTCTAGGGCTTGTTGGAGCGCTTGTTGCCGATTTTTCAAGTCTGGCTCTCACATCGGCCATGTTAATTGACAGCGAATGTTTCTAAAATTGAAGTTGTAATTATGATTTTTGGGAATTCAACACCTTGACCACCGGCTGAATTTCTAGGACATTTTGTTGAGGCCTGCGACGCATTAGTGGATTTCTTTCTGAAATATTTAATAAAAGCAGTCTATTTTTAGATAAAAAGCTTCTCATTGACTACACAGAAATTGAAAGACAATTTTAATGTATGCTATATGTAGCTATTATCTAGCTTTACTTTTCTGATATTTTCAGAGGTAACTTCAAAAACTCACTTTTTCGTGTATCAACCTTCTTCCACGTTTTCATAAGCTTCAGGAACTAGGAAAGTTGCATAAAATTGAACGTTTCTCGATCTGTACCTGTAGATAAAATGACGCATCGCATTCTTCTAAATGTTTCACCATACTGTCCGTCGTTGGCTGAATCTTTGGCGCCCGCTTTTCCCATTCGCAATTTTTGCATGTTACTCGCCCCAGAACACGATCCTCTCCCGTTTTCAGGTACCCATCGTAGCAGATGAAGAATTGGCAGATAGGGTGTCTAAACATAAATACATTGTTAAATCATAAAATTCAGTATAACATTAAAAAAAGCATGACATAAAAACAAATTTGCGCACGGTCTGTTCGTCGTCTCGTGCCAGATTAGGTCGTCTTCGCGGTAGCGGAAATTCGATCTTCTTTTAGGAGCATGAGGAAGTAAGTTGAACATCGCGCTCATTATGATTGAAAAATCTAAATCTTAAATTTCTATTAATTAAAAGTCTTTGAGATAAAATATAAAGTATGAAATTGTGAAGATAATCGAAATCTGCAGGGAATATAAAAATTATACAAAAAGTGCTAACAACAATAAAAAAACTAGGCGTGAGGAAAAAATTTTTCGACGAATTTTTATCATTTTGTTTGTTTTTAATTAGGAAGTTACTGCAAAGATCATGCCCTGAAAAAGTGCCAAAAGCTAAAAAACACTTCTAAAAAACGTAACGCGACCTACACGTCAGCTGGGGGGGTGGCAACTGTTGCATTACGGAACCACTTGTCAGATCCAGGGTCAAGCTCAAAGAACGGAAAGGAAATTGGTGGAAGCATGCCCCTAGACACTCTACGGTTTTTTTTAGTAAAAAAACGTGTATATTTGGTGAAGCAAGTAAAAACTGGAGCTCCGGAAAATGCTGCCACTTCTTGCCCCATCACCTTAAATCCTGAAGGGTAGTGGCAACTGTTGCAGTGTAATATTTCGATGGCCCCGCCCCTTTGAACTAGCCGACTGTAAAGTGTGATTGACAGATAATGAATTTTCGCGGAAAGATGGTTTGTCGATACTATCTAGCCAAAACCGCTGTGTGGGGCGAAGGCCCAGGAAAAACCTTGCGCGCTCGCATGCCGGGACTGCATTAAATATAAGCCGAATCGTAAGCCTAAGCCAAAGCCTACGCCTAACCGATGCCTAAGCTTCAGCCATTGCATAAACCTAGGCATCAAGAGTCCTTAGCGCGAGGCTCGAGAAAAATCAGACGATTCTGAAAATCTGGCCAGAGGAAAAGTAAAACGTCTCGATTGGGTTTTTAAAATTTTTCATAACATGCTTCCAAATATGGACTCTGGCGACGCGGAATACCATTAAATCAAACGAGCCAAGTTTTTGAAAAGTTTTAAAAAACCTTGGTGTCTTTTCAGTTGGTAGTTTTGATTTTTTTAATGCTCTCGCCTTCTCATATTTCTTTCATGGTTTCCTTCTCTCTCTCTCTCTCTCTCTCTCTCTCTCTCTCTCTCTCTCTTTCTCTCTCTCTCATCTCCTAACTTTATTTCACCTTATGCTCTGTTTTAGCTCTGCCACTCACGTCTCCTAGCACATGACCCGGACTTGAAGCCCGATGATGTCCTCTTCCTTATGCTTAGCGCCGAGAATTCCTTTAAATTATCATTCGCCAGCTGAATTTACATTGATCAAATATCAATAAATCAGTACTTGCTTTATTAAAAATCCAAATAACAAATCCACAATAGAAAACAGTCGGAAAATCAGTTGGGCAAGTAATCTTTTTTGCGCTTCTTCTTTTCTGTATTTTGTTACTGATTCCATAACGATTAATATGACAACAAAAACGAGGATAAAGCAAAAAGCAATGCTGGAATTGCTCAGTACAGACGTGGTTGAGGTCGAGACATAATTCTTGATAGCCGGTATCACACAGCATGAAGTTTTAAAGTCTTTATAAAGTCTTGGGCCTGTCCTTTCTCTCTCTCTCTCTCTCTCTCTCTCTCTCTCTCTCTCTCTCCTCTCTCCCACTCTCTCTTTCTCTTTCTCCCTATCTCCCTCTCTATCTCTCTATCTATCTCTCAGGCTCCCACCGATTTAGAACTCCCTCCACTTTAATAAACGCATGAAACCTTACCAGATAAAGCTTTAATTTTGTGGAATCATAAAAATACCTGAAAATAAACGGTAAACCTGAAAAAGAATTAATTGTTTGTCTGTGTTTTTCGGGGGTGTATAATGTACTCCAACAAATTTTGGTTGCGACGCGTCGAGTGTGAGTTTATGATGGCCTGGTGGCTGACCATCTTTTTGATTTTGGCTGAAAATGTTTAAGAATTCTAGGTCATTTTGGCTCACTCTCTTTCACTCGCTCACTCTCTCTTTCTCTTCTCTCTCTCACTCTCTCTAGCTCTCTCTCTCTTTCTCTCTTTCTCTCTCTCTGTCTCTCTCTCTCGCTCTCTCTCTGTCTTGCTACTCTGTAACTCTCGCGATCTCTAGCTCGCTCTTTTACAAAAATTGTACACTCACATTTAAAATATACCAATTTAATAGAATTTTCAATAAATACTTACCCGGAGGGCCGTCAGCCTCATTGTCAGTGTGTTTTCTAACTCTTTTTTACCTTCTCACTACCTTTACCACTTTGAGACCAAGTTCCGGGTTTGCTGCATACAGCTTTATTAGCTGGACTTGGACCTGAAAACGTTTATGTAAGGCATCAAATTCATGACGTAATACGGTATTGATGCTGCTTGAAGATTTACCTGCCAAGGCCTTTTCCCGATGTTCCTGTACAGCTTGAGCTTTCCGCTCTTGCTCAACATCTGAAAAGTGTTCCGCTTTCATACGAATTGATGACGTGGCCCCGTTGATACGATTTTTCGTATCGACAGCAGCCGAATCCCCAGCGCCCTCCCGGTTCGCATCTCGATGTCCATTTGCCAACTTCTAAAAAACACCTAGATTCAAATTGTTTTGAAAGATGTTACCTTTCTTTCTTCCATCAATCTTTTTAATCCCTGAAAATCGATACCTTGCGGGTTGCTCTAAAACGAGAATTGAAAGCGTTAATTCCGGAAAAAAGCATACCTTAGCTGGCGATTTTCTGGAATTTTTTAGGGGAACCACGCCTCGTAGCTGCGGATTTACCTCTGAAAATGAAATCTAATGAACAGTAGAATACTCTAAGGTTTTGGATATCGGTAAAAAAACTTACTCTTTCTGGTGTCGACCTTTTTCCAGAATTTCTCGAGGTGTTTGTACTGAAAAAGTTTGTACAAAATTTGCCAGTGGAAGTTTAATAATTTTTTCTTATGTAAGTTAAAAATTTAATTTTTCTGAGACTACAATCTACAGCGCGGAAATTAACGATACATGTGTTATTAGAAACATTTAGTGAGCTCGAAAATCCACAGCTTTTGGTAGATAAATTGAAAAATTGAAGAAAGACTAGAAACCTGTCCATAGATGTCCTGATGCCAGTATTGTAAATGCTCAGCCATGACGTCAGTCGATGGCAACACCTCTTCTGTGATCTTCTCCCATTCGCAGTTCTTGCAAACGACCCGCGCGGCGAGCCGATTGATGAATTCTTTGCGGTACCCATCGTAGCAGTCGAAGAATTGGCAGACCGGATGACTGGAATAGAATTTGATTCACTGGAATTTAGTAAGCTCACGGTCGGTTTGTCGTACTGACCCAATCGTAATAGTTCATTTCGGAATGAGCAGCAAGTCTTTTCTTTAAAGTGAGCAAAACTCCCTTAGGCATCATCTCGAAAATTCTCAAAATCTGAAATAACATTACCAAAGACATCGCAAGACTTCAAAACAATGAATAAATATAGAAATCAATCCGTAAAGCTACTTAGGATTTAGGTTGCGTTTCAAAGAGGCAAAAATGAAAAAAGGATTATTCCGAATTTACACGATATCAAAAGCTTTCCTAACGTTAATAATCCAATGAATGTATGTTAGAGGTTGGCCAAAACTTGAAACTGTCGTAAAACGCTAGTCGCGTTCGAAAAATTTGGGAAGGGCGGAGAGCACTGCCTGAGACAGGCATCCCACCCGACTGAGCCTCACCCTCCTTGCCCGAGTATTTTGGTAGCGTGAGGGAAAACGAGTCTCTGGAAGATGCTGCTCCCCAAGTATAGATAAGCCGTACAGCGAGCATTGTTGGCTCGCTGCTGAGACTTAGGCAATCTTTAAGAAAACCGCGTAGCACTACCTTATTTGTTAGCAAATATTGACATTTGAGAGCATCTCTTTTTTTCGGCTTCTCTTACACTCTCTCCCATTCTTTCTCTCACTCCCGCTTTCTCTCTCTCTCTCACTCCCGCTTTCTCTCTCTCTCCCTCTCCCTCACTCTCGCTCTAAAAAAATAGATATATTGAAATAACCAAAGTCAGAACAATCGCTCCAACTACAGTAAGGCGACGGGGTACGGTAGAAGCGAGAGGACTCGAGCTGTATCAATAAATTTTTTGACAGAACGCGTGCTCGCTAGCAGTCGCCACCAGAGCGTGCCAGGCCATAAAATTCTACAAAGCCGCATCTGCCGCCAGAAAACGGGTCTTTTTGCCAAAAAGCCCTAAAAACTGCGCGTATGCGGCGGCGGACAAGGCCGATGCTGCTGAGTTGCGAAATGCACTTCCCAAACCGAAAAAACTGGGCCAACAATTCATATACAAAAACATAAAATTTAATTTAAAAATGGAGAATCTATATTGTCATCAATGCTTGTCTTATCAAAATTTTATTACCAAATAAATTGTTGCGATTCAGCACAAATTAATGGATAATGAGATCACAAGCAGATTATGGATTTGAGGATTGCAAGGGTTTGCTTTTGTTTTCCTTTGGCTTTTTTGTGAATTTTTTTGGTTTAAATTTCGAAACTGCACAGGAAAAGAGGTACTGAGATCACAAACAGAAAGGTAAAAATTTTGGGAGGGCTTTGGAAAATGTTGAATTTTATGACCTTTTGCTCCATTTCCTGTTCCATCCAGCTCTTTCTCTTTCAGGAATCTTTAACTATCACCGTAAACATGTCTCCGCTTATCCACCACATCATCTCTATTTTTGCAGCAAAAATACAAGCCTTTTACTTACCAACGTTAATCGGAATATTTTTTGTGTTGTTGAGGTAGAAAAATTAGATCTGGAAAATATCGACCCGGGGAGACTGCAACTTTGAACTTTGTATGTTTTGGGTGGTATGAGCTCCACTCGGTGCGTACGATTTCAGAATGGCTGCGTGGCTGAAGAGCTTTTTTTGGTGCTGAAAAACTTGGGAATTTTGAGTAAGGATGGCAAAAACTACGGAAAATACCATTTAGTACCATAAAGACCTGTAATATATAGTGCCTCCGAACGTAATGCCAAACTTCGCACCTAATAGTCCTAAAAATTTAGAGAGGTTTAAAGAAAGCGGTCAGATAAAAACAAACTTCCATGGGGCTGGCCTTCTCTATCTTTCTTTCTCTCTCTCTCTCTCTCTCTCTCTCTCTCTCTCTCTCTCTCTCTCTCTCTCTCTTTCTCTCTCTCTCGCTAGACTTCGAAACACGTAAGGTTAAGCAATTTATTTAAATAGCAAAAACCGGCCGCTTACCTGGCGCTCCTTCAACCCGGAGGTCCTCTGACCCTCCTATGACTTTCTCTACATCCGGACGAAGTAAACAGTGCTGAGATTGAGCTTCATAAGAGCGTTTGCAAAGCTCTTGTTTTTCTGAAAAAAATCTTGAAATTTTAGTTTAGACTAAAATTTAGACACCTTTGCGAGGCTTGTACTCTGGAGGTCTTTTTCCGAGCGCGTGCATTCGAAGCTCGGGTCCTCGCCTGAAGAGCAACCCCGACGGCAGCGGGTCGAACGGTACTGCTAAATCTTAAAAATGTGCTAATAATTTTTCTACGATCTATAAATAGAATACACTAGACTATTTCTCCCAAAAATTCCATTAAGTGTGATACTCTACCTTGCGATTCCGTCTTGCGAGCAATTTCCGGTCTTTCAGCCGCTCTGCCCGAACTTTCCGGAACGTCGGCCTCGGCTTCATATTGTTCTGTCGGCGCCGGAAGTGCTTCATTTTTAAAGTCCCTTTCTTTGACGCGCACCGGAAGGACCTCCATTTTTTTAATTATAGTCCCATTCCTCGAGACTTCAAAGGTCTCCGTCTGTTTGTCAAGGGAAGCGATGGTTACATACCGGCTCGCGCAGCTTTCCCTCTAAAGTAATGTCGTCTTCTTCTTCGGAAAAGGCAAACCTCGAAAATGATGCGCTGGCCGTCCTCTGATTTCCGTTGGCTGAATTTCCGGTGTGGAACAGCGGTTCCGATTCTGCTGAATGGCAGGCCAGATGAGGCTGAAAACGACAATGGAATCTGGTATTTTATATGGATCTTTTGGGTTTTAATTTGATCCCGCCTTCAAACAGTTAAGTTTCTTAAGCTTTGCTTACCCGCTCGCTTCAAATACCGCGGAAAGAGATCCTTGAATTTTTCAATTTTCTCTTGCATTTCTGGTGAGGCGGGGGAATTGGACCGATCCTCCAGCGGGGGCAAGGCTTCGGACAAGTTTTCTGAAATTTGAAATTATTTTTTTTTCTCGTTCTCTCGCTCTCTTCCTCTTTCTCATCCTTGCTCTCTCTCTCTCTCTCTCTCTCTCTCTCTCTCTTTCACTAGAAACTAAATAGTACCTGGTGATTTGTCTTCTTCACAAGCCCCCATTACTCGCCTGTGGTAAGCATCCAGAATCCAGCGGGTCATCGTGACACTTATTTTAATGTAAGTTTCTAGAAAGAATGATCAAAATGGTCTGTAAAGTTAGAGCAAAAATGAATAATAGTCTAGTAAGCAAAATTCTACCTGTCCTGTCCGGAATATTTTCGCTCTGCATTTCCGGTCCTATCGGGTTAGCAGTCAAATTTGGCGTTGCTGCAGGTTTTCCCAGGTATAGGTCAAGCGCGGCGAGGTTCATCTGAGGCGGTTGTTTCTAAACTCGAATCGTTAATATATTGCATATAGTGCGAATATTGGTGCTTTCACTAAAAATCACTGGGACTTCATTATTTAAAGTTTAAGATATAAAATTACGATTTTCCTACCTCTGGAACCGCCTGGATCTCCGGAACATCGCTGTGAGCAGCGCCGCTGAATAACGGGTTAATTCCTGAAAATACATGTAATAGACTATGCTAAAAATACCTTAAATTTAATATGCAGAATTAGATTCTGAATTCAATGTGGTAGAAAGCTCTAAGACTTACTTTTCTTATTGTCCACTTTTTTCCACGTTTTCATGCGCTGTAGAAACTAAAAAAACATGTTTTTAATTGGTACGCTCCCTTGTTTTGACTTACAAATTGAAAATTTTATCAGATACAAACTACAAACCTCGCGATGTTTCTTTCGATGACATTCTGCTAAATGTTTAGCCATGACATCCGTCGAAGGCTGTGCCTTTTGCGCCGTTTTTTCCCAAGCACATCTTTTGCAAGCCACCCGTCCGGCCACTCTATTTATACAATCTTTGCGGTATCCATCGTAACAGTCGAAGAATTGACAGACCGGATGTCTAGAGAAGATTCAGTGGATTTTAGATGGGGCTGGACTTACCGGCGATTCGTCGTTATGTCCCAGATCAGTTTTTGCGCTTCCGAATTGTTAGTAGAAGCTTGGGAGGTGTCCATTAGCAGTGCGTCTATCTTTCTTTCTCTCTCTCTCTCTCTCTCTCTCTCTCTCTCTCTCTCCAGAAATCTAAATAGCTGCTTTTCAATTCCTAGGGAGAAACCTAAAGAAACAGTTTGCAAATGCGCTAGTAGGTTTCCTAAATGTGACAGGGTAAAAACGAGCATTACTACTTACGAATCCATAAAAATATGGATCTACGGAAATTGGTCAAAATACCCAGAAATATAAAAGAATTCAAGCAAGCAGCAGAAAACCAATGAAATGGAGGCATCAACTCGGGATAAAACTGGGAATTTGTCGCTAGATTTTGGCCAAGAGCATGTTTCGAAAACGGAGTGGATGAGCCCCAAGGAAGAATCGATCTCTTTTTGGGAGCTTCTGGGGGAGCCTTGGGACCACCCAGATGGGCCCACCCACACGTGACCGCCCGCCATGGGGTAACTGTAATGTGGTAATGGGAGAAATAAGCTCACGCTTTTCACACCTAACGAGATGGAGAGAGACAAGGAAGAAGGCGAAAGATAAAGAAAATGTAAAAGCGAGCGAGAAAGGAAAGCGGATGAGTTAGCCGACTCACTAGGAAGTATCTGGAACTTGCCATCGAACTTTGAGAAGTCAGATACACCATTCGACGCGCCTTGACGAGGGGATTCCAAATATCTAATAAAATCAACGGGAGCGTATAACGGTAAAAAGTTATGAGCATTTATATTGCGCTGAAGGGTGCCGCTGCGATATGAGTCCCTCCCAGGGAACGCTGCCCATCGGTTCCGTGCCCTAGTGGTGTGCGCATTGGCCTCCGACGTGTACAACGAGGGTTCGGATCCACTCGCGATTTCAATTTTTTTGCTTTTGGACCAGTTCCTACTTTTTGCGTTGCCAAACTCGAGAATAAGTTTTCTTGACTATCTGACCCCTAAAAACGGCCAGCGACGATAAATTCACCACGGGAAAAAATAGTCAGCAGAAGGAATCATGCAGAAAAGCTGTTGAAAGAAGTATAGTAGAATTGGTAGGAATACATGGGGCTTTTTTTGACTTTTTCTTCTACTTTCCTGTAGCTTTCAGTTTTTTGGATGGTTTTAAGCGATACGAAGAAATCCATGAACGATACACCCGAAATGACCTGCATAAAAAATATTTTTCCGGGGTGGAGAAGTATACTTATTTAGCTAGCACCCATTTTCTTGCAACTTTTGCGTTCGCTGTCTTAACTTACCGTTAGTTGAGAATTTCTTTCGATTGTAGCTTGCAAAAGATGTTTTTGGGTGCCCTTCTGTGGCTTCGTGTGACCGTTTCTATTTATTAAAATTTATTACTTCAATCAGTTGTTGTCTAGTGGGCAACTGGAGGAGGGTGAGAGGCTCCCTGGACCGGGGGAGGGTTTGAAGCTCCTTGAACAGGCGGCGGGTTGGACGCTCCTTGGAACGGGGGAGGGTTGGAAGCGCCCTGGACTGGAGGAGGGTTCGATGCTCCCTGGACTGGTGCGGCACGCTTCACCTTGGGTGGGACAGAAGCTCCGTTGACTGGCGGTGGGTTCGAGGCTCCCTGAACCGGGGGAGGGTTAGAAGCTCCCTTGACCGGAGGCGGGTTCGAAGCTCCCTGAACTGGTGGCGGGTTGGAGGCTCCAGCAACTGGAGGAGGAACCGAGGCTCCCTGTACTGGTGCGGCACGCTTCACCTTCTGTGGGACGGAAGCTCCGTTGACCGGGGAGGGTTCGAAGCTCCTTGGACTGGCGGTTGATTTGAGGCTCCATGAACCGGAGGGGGGTTCGAGGCTCCTTGAACTGGAACTGGGTGGCCTGGAAAGACATTGATAATACAGAGACCTTTCAGTTTCAGGTGCTGTCTCGGACTTAATTCAGACTGGACTTACCGGTCGGGGGTGGTGGAGGGGCGGTGGCTGCGGCGGCACTAGAAAAGATTTAATTAGTTTTTGAGGTTGTTTTGAATTACCTGAGAATTCTTTATATGAGAAAGGGTTTAGCATATATATGGGTCGAAGCCCGGGGGCGCCGCCGGGCTTCGACCCATATTTTAAAGTTTAGCAAGCTTTTTAAATCGAATAAGCCTAAGCATCGTCGGCAAGTCTGTCTCAGATTTTTCCAGCTTCTTTAAGCCTACAAAGAACTCACAAAGCCACGGCAACAACAGCCAAGAAACAGACGGCAGCAGTCTTCATGTTCAACTCGGAGGAGACCAGGAATTGATACTTCTCCGCTGGAGATTCAGTCTTTTATAACAAGCCGATTGGGGTCACTCTGGCGTCATTTGTACCCCAAAAAAGCTCGTTGAACATCCCCTTTATTTGCACATCTGGCTTCAAAACTTGTTACATCGACCCCGACCCCTGGGAATAGCCCTAGCCCCGCCAGCTCAAAGACTTCTGCATCAATTCAGGTTTGCACAGCCTTTCCTGGACTCTACAGTTCAATTCCGACTACGGATCGCTACGGAGTGACGTTGGGTATGGTCTGGCAGTGCCGGATTTTGACCAGTAAAGCATTGCACAGCCCTGCAGCTAGACCTGGGCTCCGCATTGCAATAAATTGCAATAAATGACGCGAGATCAGCCCCTATTGGGTTTGTATAAAAGGCGGTGGATGGTGCTTGGATGTATCAATTCCTGGTCTCCTCCGACTCGACGATGAAGATTGCCGTTGTTGGCTTCTTGGCAGTTCTTGCCGTGGCTTGGTAGGTTTTATTGAGCTTAGCAATTGAAAATGCATTTCTCTGCAAGATTCTGGAAAGAGCAAAACTTTCAATGAAGTATGATTTATATGTTTTAATTCCTAGTGCCGCCCCTGCCACACAGCCACCTCCACCACCAACCGGTAAGTCTAAGAATCCAAAACTTTGACTTTTTAAATCACACAAGAGCTCAATGCCAATTCTAACGAAATGAAAGTTAACCTTCGACAAATTAGACCCTAATCCAGATTTATCGATGCGTTTTAGGGAAGCCGGCTCCAGTTGCTGGAGCGTCCAACCCACCACCAGTCCAGGGAGCATCCAACCCACCTCCAGTCCGGGGCGCATCTAATCCTCCTCCGGTCCAAGGAGCTTCTAACCCTCCTCCAGTCAACGGCGCTTCCGTCCCACCAAAGGTGAAGCGTGCCGCGCCTCTCCAGGGAGCCTCCAACCCGCCCCCGCTTCAAGGCGCCTCGAATCCTCCTCCGGTGCAAGGAGCTTCCAACCCTCCGCCAGTTCAGGGAGCCTCCAACCCTCCTCCAGTCAACGGCGCTTCCGTCCCACCTAAGGTCAAGCGAGCTGCCGCCAACCCACCCCCAATCCAAGGAGCCTCGGACCCTCCGCCGGTTGCTAAACAATCTAACCCTCCCCCGGTCCGAGGAGCGTCCGTACCTCCCGCGGTCCAGGGAGCTTCCGTTCCTCCTCCGGTGGCTGGAGCCTCCAACCCACCTCCAGTTGGTACGTTACCATGTGCCATAGTCTAATCCAAATACTAGAAACTTAAAAAACACCTAATTTTAGCCGGCAACGGATCTCCGCCACCTCCCGTCTCGGTCAACGGACTTCCAGCTCCCGCTCCCGCCCATTAAGTATGGCAAGGGTCGCAAAATAGACTTGAATAAATTGTCAAATGCAAAAGGGGTTGTGAGCACGACGATTTGGACATTGCAGGCACCTTAAGTTATCGCCAAGGGTTGATAACACGTTGTGGTTTGCATTGTCCGATTTCTCTGTTGTTCGCATGACTACCACCGTAATTCTTTTATCAATAATTGGCAAGTTGTCATCAATAATCATAAAATATATGTCGCAACCGCAACCAACAACCGCAAAATAACAACGAAGAGAGTAAATGCAAAATAGGGAGCAAAATGCTGGAGAAATGCATCGAGACCAGTTTTTCATGAAACTATGGAGAAATAGGATAAAATAAACAAAATTCTGGCTTTCTAAACTACAGTAACTGAATATCTAGAAAAAAAATCAGCATTACTTGGTTATCCGGGATAATTATTCAGGTTTTGATAAGGATACGGGAGGTGCGAGGGCTCGTTTGTGAAGGAAGGGACCGCGCGGGGATCTGAAATTTGAATTTTCGTTTCATCCTGGAATGAACGTTTGTCTTAATGTTAATGTCTTGTCTCCTCCCGCCGTTACTATACTTTTTTATGCTTTTTATATTAGTTTTTTTATATTAATATTAGGATATTTGCAAGAAAGATACATTTTTATATACTTTTTAAACTTTCAAAACTATGCAGCCCTACTAATTCGACCATGCTCTTTCAGATGCCGTCAAAAAACGGGGTCGAAAAAACTGTGCCAAGCATTGTTCGAGTCCCTCGCAAACGGCCTTTTAACGCTTAAGAGCTTTGTAATTGCCTAAAGGTTAGGAGTAAAGCAGAAAAGCCAGAGGACAACCTTCAAACTTCGATTTTATATAATAAGCAAATCGTTCCGAATTCTAGGCCATTCACGGAACGAATTTCATTCAAATAAAAATTTTTCAAGTAAACCTTTCGACAATCTCTCAGAAAGAGTGCATAGCCTACCGTATATACCCGAGGAGGAGGCGGGGCTCGGCTGAAAGCTTTCCGTTGGAGGCTGGGGCTTTGGCTAAAATTAGGATATTCAAGGGGAAGGGTAAGGGTCTTTTTGGTGGATATGGATGCCGAAAGGCTCTAGGCGCGATGCGCAACGCATGCGCGCGGCAGAAAGCTGCATTCGTATTTCGCATTATTAGCATCGAAACCCCAGATAAGAGCTCAAAGTTTTCTT